TGGAGCCGCCTCCGCGCGATCCGGAGGCCTGGACGGCACAGCGGGGAATCCTCCGCGCGGGGCGAGCGCACGCGGACGCTGCTCTGCGGGCGCGGGTCTATTCCCACACTGTGGTTTGTCCTGGGTTGGCGTTTTGGAGTTTAAGAAGTTCGGGTTACGCTGAGTGTTTGCCATGTGCTCTGCTATACGTGGGCCCTGCAACCCGACCCCGGCTGCGCAGGGCTGCCCTCCTGCAGGTCTTTAAGGAACTGAAATTCAGACCTGTAATTTCTGGCCTTCTGCGAAATAAAACCCCCAGGCAGCACTTGCTCTGCCTCCTCAATCTGCTCTCCCACAACAAGTTCAGAGCCATGCCCAGCGCTAACCCTAAAGCAAGAAAACACCCAGCCACGTGCCAGCAATGCCAGAGGTGTGATGCCAGACCCAAGAACACAGAGGAAGGTAGAGGAGTCTCTGCAGAAGCAGCTTCCAGCCTCCCCCTTGGTGTCAGCCCCAAAGGGAGCACGGAGCTGCTCCTCCAAACCTGCTCCTTCCTTAGCTCAGCACAATTCCTCACCTCTGTCTCCCCAAGACGTCCGTAGCTCACTTCATAGAGCACGATGAGGCCGTTCGGTTCCTTCGGCTCCTGCCACTTCAAATGCACGGTGTTTTTTTCAACCAGTTCATGGGTAACTGGACCCACGATGTCATCGGCCTTAGCTAGAACCAAGGTCATAATTAAAAACAATGCTTAATTTCATGTCTTTTACAAAAAGCAAAACTGCCAGTACTTTACACATCATCTTTTAGTATTGGGGAGTAACAGAAGCGCCAGATTTATGTGGTGTTTTCCTACTGCAGCCGGGTTGCAACCACAGAAAAACAAACAAACAACAAGAAAAACAGCCTTTGGACCGTATCCCCGCACCTCTCTCAGCCCCAAGGAAAGCGTAGGAGGATCATTACCTTCTGGCATGGTCCTGGCGCTGACGTAGGCTGCGACGCTGCACCGGGACTCCTGAGCATCGTGGTTACAAGCATGGAGCTCAATGCGGTACCCCGTGAAGTGCCTCAGGCCTGAGATAACCAAGGACTCCTTCGACTTAACCTTTTCGAATGGTTTCTGCTCATCGGTGTTCTCAGAGGCTGCTACGGAAGCGTTGGGAGAGGATGGGATGGTGGGGAGCACCACAGTGGCGTTTGCCATGGAGCCAAGGTCTCTCCGCTTTCTCGATGGCCTGTCAAGTATTACACGTTAAAGGGTTATTGATCATCTTCAGTGCAAGCACATTTATCTGCAAAGAAAGAGTTAAACTGCAGACTTCAGAGTGCAACTGAAAACTCCAATTCAAGCCTCATTTACCCTGCAACGACAGCCAAGAAAACCATTTAGATGCTTTCAACATTTTCATGAGACCAAATATCAAGTACTTTCCAACAAACACTTAGAACAGAGATTCACATTACACACATATATACATATTAATTGTGCTGTTTGTTAAATAAAGATCGCCTCTCCAACTATCCACATTAGCCTGGAAATCAGTTTCTGCAGTTGGGAAAATAAAATACTGTGATCTTGTCAACGGGCCCTGTCTGCAACGGAACGCTACAAGACAATTTTAATGGCAGATTAGCTTAAATAGCAAAACAAAACAAACAAAATCAACCCAACAGACCTAGGAACTATTAAAATAAAACCTTAGTTTCCTAAGCAATTCCTAAGAGGAATGAAAAAAAATTCCAATACCAACCCAAAATCTCTTGTGCTAATATCAAGACAATAACACTTTACTCCCTCCAAAACACTCACAAACAG